GCCGATGTAGATGTTAAGCCATTTTCATGGGGGTTAGATCCCCCTTTTTTGCATATCCCCGGCCCATTGATATCCAAAAATAATAAAAATAGGTTAGTAACGGATCCGCCGATGTTTTTTTTCTGAATGCTATCCCCGATAGTTTGGTCATAACTAACAGTTCTGTTTTTGCGGCATATGATTGGTAATGTTCCAACCATATCACCATTTGGGTGTGTCTGAAAATAGGTGGTGTACCCCCAAATGGATCCAAATGGCATTTGTTTAGGGAAATGATGATTAACCAGGGGATGGAATGATGGAAGGGGGCACCCTATTTGCCGACAACCCCGCATTGCTGCTTGGTTATATCCCAGTATATGACTCCCCAAAAAGAACGAAAAGTCGTATATCACCTATATATTTCTCACTTCCACCTTGAATGGCTGAAAAATCATGGTGTGTACAACCAAACCAACTATCAATTCGTATGAATTATGACCTCAAAAGTACAATTAGTGAGCCCCCCACCTATGTTTGCTTTCGAAAATCCAGAATCCATCGTTATATCCATCGTTTCATGTATTATATCCCCCATGAACATCCACAAAACATCCACAAACGAAGGTTTTCACAGGGGAACGCGCGTTTTCACGCGGAAAAAACATGAACGCCACACCACAAGAGTCGTTTCGGGATGGGGTACACGCGGAGGTTGACTAAGGCTACGAGTTTGTGCTTCTGGGATGCATTCAGATCGCCTCAGCTCAACTCTCGGTTGTGTTGCTCAGTTTCACCCCGTACTTTTGGTGCCCATGTCGCGTGCCAACGGCACCGGAGCCGATGCCCGTAAAAAGAAATTGAAGGAACTTGAAAGGCGAATGGATGTTGAAAACAGTTTCTCCGGGCTGCCTGAATCGATAACCTGGACCGATTTGAGCTGGAAACAGCTAAGTTTGTTCGGGTTGAACATTCCGTTTGGCTACTCTGTTTCAACTGGAGGCTGAAGGGTTCCCCAAAAGCGAACTCAGGGAAAGGGCAGGGCAAGCGCTGGCTCGGGAAATACGGGAGGCTTTGGAACGGGATGAACAGAAAGCGACCTTGCAAGCCAAAAGTGATCAGTTATCCAACAACAAACAAAGGTGGCCCAATCGGGCGGAACGGGATGCGGTCCTACGCAGTTTGGGAATTGAAGCCCTTGTGGATTGGGTCAAGCAAGGGAACAATGCGCACAGTATCAGGTTGCAGCAAGGGGAACCCAGCCGTCTGGCCTCGGAACAAATTCGTAAAACTCTGACAGCTGCGCTCTCTATGTGTTTGGTAAGCTGGCCCCAGACAATCATACTAAGGTCATCTAAGATCCAAGTATATCAGGATCGTGGTCATTCCATGGCATTCCATGGTCATCCCTGGTGAACCGGGACTGCAAACACAACGGAGCAGCGACCAGGATCGTGGTCCCAAACAACGCAACAAAGGTAAGGGTAAGGGCAGAGGCAGGCAGAGGCAAGGGCCCGAACGGTGGCAAAGGCAAAGGTGGTAAAGGAAAGAAAGGGGGCAAAGAGCCAAATGCGCCGGCACGAGCGGCACCGTGAATCACAGCAGGCAGGGGTAATGATATGTCAAGCACGACATGGGGGTCATAGGGCATGCGACGCCACCACAATTAATAGATCAGATATGGAATCAGTTTGTTCTCTTCTCTCTGTCCTCTTTCCTCCTCGGTTTCCTCGGTTTCCTCGGATCAAGGTGAGGATAACCCTGCGTGGGTTCCTCCAGGTGAGTAGCGGTCTTATCGGGACCCTGCCCAGGTGATCGAAGTACCGAGTTTAACGAATTACGTGTTTATGTGACCACCTTCACTCCTATACCTGGATGCACCTTTGTTGAGTCGGTCGTTCTTTTCGTTCTCGTAATGACATTTGTTTCACCACCACCATCCCATGCACCTTCATGAGATTCTGGCTTCACGCCGTGCAAGGTCGACGCGTCCATGGCAAAATGGTTCCCCAATCCTATGGTATGGTGGCTACACTCGTCGCGATCATCATCATCATCATCATCATCATCAACATCAACATCCATAAACCAACCATAAACCAACCATAAACCAACCATAAACCATCCATAAACCAACCATAAACCAACCTTTTACCTGGAGTTTCCCCCAAACTTCTCATGGTCCTCACCTCACCCAGCATCCTTCGCCCACGTGCAGCGCGATCCGCCGGATCCGTCGCCGGATCCGTCAGCAGCTCGCGCAGCGCCTCGGCGCGATCCTCAGCAAACATCGGAGTCATGCTGGGGTCACCTGAATTTGGTGTGGAAGAATCTCGGATGAATTAATTGTATATGAGATTTATGTGTATATGTATATATATATATGTGAATTAATTGTATATAATATTTCTGTATATATATATATTATATGTATATGTTACTGTACTATATGAATTGGAATTTGGAAAGAAGTAAGGGAGACAAGTACTTCAAAGCGAACGGAAGAAGTACTCCAAATTGGGCTTTAAGAGATGAGATATGATAGGATTCAATGCCACTTCGGATAGAATCCAATTCCTACTTGCAGGATCATCAAATAAATGGGAATTGACTAGTAATCTTTGGACATCATTGGTACAATCCATGTGTTTATCGAGTTTATTGTCTGTACATGTTGTATGGGACAAATCCACGAATCAGGAACTTACTAAGCGGGGTTATTAGCTGGTTTCTTAATTGGAATGATCCACCAAGCATGGACCGCGTGCCGATATGACATGCGATACTTTCGGGCAAAAGTTGGAGGATTGAATCTTAAAAACCTGCAGGTTTATGGGTAAAAAAGTTGAATGAAGGTGAATGGGGCGTTCAAATGATTGAAGCATATTGAAGCATATATACAAGCACATTAAAACATTGTTGATGTGGTGTATGACCAAAACACGTCCCAGGATGTTTTCGCAGGCATCAGCATCCCCGTGGAGATGGCATCATCCATACCATCCTAACATTTAGCATGCCACTAAGTGGTTCGGAAGCACGATTGCAACCCTTTTAATGATAATGTTTGGGATATCCCAGTTGTTGAGCAGTTCTTATCCTGCTAATTAGGTAAAATATATCCGCTATCCGTCTACATGATCTATATGGGAGTTATCACTAGATCTCCAACTCCAAAACAAAGGTTGGGCTGAACATCGGATACCCCAATCCCATTCTTGGGGCCCAGACCTAGTGTTTGGACAAACCCATACCCATTGTATCCGCCTGCTTTATCCAACCATTCTGCTATTCATAGGTAACAGCAGCATATAGTTTTAACATTTTGGCTGGTGAAATCCAACAGCATCCTCTCGTGAGCAGTGTTCAAGTGTTCCATTGAGATCAGAGTTCCACAATGTATCAAAATGTGCCATGAAATATCCACAAGAATCCATTGAGATCACTATAATCCACAGTTCATCATGAAATATTGGTTTATTGTGGATTATGATGATCTCAATGTGGATGAAAATCCATGATGCCAAGTAGGTGAACCTGAAAAAAACCCGAAAAAAGTCTAGCAGTCAACACATGTTACCATCAGAGTTCAAACGGTTTGATATCCCATTTTGAAAAGATCCTCACTATATATTTCTCATTAGTACATTCCCATTGCACTAGGTAGTTTCAAAAAAAGCGGATTGGTGAGATTCCCGCTAGTTGTGAAATGACCAACTAGTTTTGGTTAACCTATACCTATTATGGGTTAAAATCCACCCTGCTTTGTTCCGGGAAAAACACCAAGTGGCGACACGGGCAGCCGAAGCAAAACACCGACGTGGAACACGTTGAAAAAGAATCGACACAGCCATGGCGTGCAGGGCCGAACGACAAAGTACTTCAGATCAACATTCTGATCTGGTGCCGGTAGATGAATACATCGATATTGATATGATATTGATGTTTTATTTACATACTTATATATATATAATACCATATAATACTGGTTGGTGGTATACCTACCCCTCTGAAAAATATGAAAGTCAGTTGGTATGATGAAATTCCATATATATATATATGTGGAAATATAAAAATCATGTTCCAAACCACCAACCAGAATATCATATAATATCATATAACATCAACCGAGGTATGTCTGAAATATTCGGAATATCAACCAGTTGCTGGACCAGAGTTCTGACTGCGCTCTGCACAGCGAAAGGTGACCCAGGTGACACCCATGAACCCTACAGGATGGGGCCCCCAGTTGAGCTCGCGTTCAGTTGTCTTATTTTTGTGGCGAAAAAACGATGGTTTATGGTAGATATAACGAACTAGTTAATGGGGGTTATAATGGTTTATAAACCAACAAACATAACTACTATGTGGAGACACTGGGTTTCCATTTTTTTGGTAATATATAATTATCATATTATATAACCAACAATTGTGATGTTAAGGTGTCTCACAATGGGATAACCACAACATTGCATTTCGAAAGCGAACGTATTGGAAAATAATCTAATCACTGGATTTTGGCATACACCGTTTTCTGACAAACCCTTATTCTATTCAAACATCAGAACCGACTCTAGAGTACGAACCGTCTGCGTCCACTCCCTCAATGCCAGAGACACGGGGCATTTCTCCATCTGTTCCCCCTTGTAAGACAGTTCAGCTCCCATGTTTTGTATGGCTATCACAGTAAACTCACTATGATATTGTTAAACTATCACAAACTCCCACGATATTCCTTTTGAAATCGGGGGAAATCCCATGAAATACCATAAAGTGATTGGTTTTATTCGAAGAATAATGGGGATATGATTAGACTCAAATTAAGGAATAGCATTCATGTCCATGGATGGTTCCCAAGAATCAACGGTTGGTTTCATCCCAATATCATCCATGTTGTTGCTTAACTTCTCAAGTAAAACTCCCATAAAACTATATAGACACCCCCAAAACTTGTGGGAAAGTCTTTCCAGGATCGTATATTATGTAGCGGTTCTTCCATATTTTCCAGGTTTCCAACTTGTCTATACTTTTTTACCTATTTTGGGGTTGCTATAAACTGTCATGAACCCACGCCTCCTGTTGGCATCCACAGATGGCGCCGGCGACGCTTGCAGCGTCACTGCTGTGACCGGCGCAGCCGGCGGCGTGTCGGCAGTCAAAAGGCCGAAGGGGTCCAGGACGCCAAGCCAGGCGTTGTCTTCCACCTGGAAGCAACCAGACCAGTATGGTTCCAGCCACGTAGGAAATGGGGAAATGATATGAAATGATCCCATAACTATCCATAACTACACTCCTCAAAATTCACATAGACCCGCCAAAAGGGTTGGAAGATTACTTTCCACTAAAAATCATGTTTTCAGGGTCTATATGAAAATTTGGAAGGTAACAATCATCATCCCCGATTCCCTACGGGTTGTATTGGTGCATGTCCCATTGGTTGAAAATCACCTTAAATTCTTCATTTTTTGTTTACCTCCAACCACCAGTGATGTTGCCTTGGATAACCTGTTTGCGGGTGCACACAAGTTTGTGTAACATCTAACATTCTGTACCCAAGTGTAGAGGGAATATCCCCAGGCACTTTTTTCGGGTAAACCAATGTGGTAAACCCAAAAATCAATCATCCCAAATTCGACCAGAAATAGTTTCTATTCCACAACTATGACCCTCTGCTTATTTATATCACATATAGCTTGCAAAAGGACTCGCTTTTAGCTAATCTATATTGATGTTTGATGATTTCCCCAACTCGAAAAAAATTGCTGATTTTTCAGTTCGCGAAAACTTTTTTCTCAACCACCAGGCTAGAACCATCCCAAAAAAAATGGTGCTTTTTGGTCTCCGGAACGATGGAGCACCGGCCACACCTCCTGTTCGGCTGTGACGTAGCGCAGGGCCTCGCGCAAGGTGTTCTTCGCTGCGCGCTGCAGCGTCCAGTCACAGGCGCGCTCCACCTGCGTGTTGCGCGTTTTGGGGACCCGTGGGGGTGACGGTGGTGTTTTGGGTTGGGTGTTTTTGGCAACCGTGGGGAATATATACCATGGAGATCAAGGAAAATCAATGACAATAAATGAACATAATCTATACGTATATAAATCTTTATGAATGGAAAACAATGAAACTATCGAAGAATTCAATACTCTGTCAAGGACAATATATTTCGAAAATCAATGAACATCATCTAAAAATGGTGGACAAACTCTGGATTTCCCTGTGATGTTTGTTCGTCTATCTTATGTTAAAGTGTTATAAACCATGGAGAATCAATATGGAAAATCATCTAAATAAATTGTGGATTGTGGATTTCCCCGAAAAAAAATGGCAATTGTTCGTTGGTTGTGCAATTGTGCAACAAAAACCTTATAGTTTGGTACATCAACCACCATCTTGTACACCCAGTGACACGAGAACCACCGAGATCCGTTTAAATTTGAGGAATTCGCCACCGGAGATTTCCCACACTTTGATTGGAGGCTGGTGTATGAGATCATGTTTTGGAGATTATGTCTAGATGCATATGAATGTAATATAATGTAATATCATGATATATATTGATATATCATGTAATTTGCAAACCAATATAGATCTCGTGCATTCTCGTTCTGCATGATCATTCGCGTATCTTTCCTTCGAACGTTGGCTTTGGGCTGGGTAGGGTGACCCTGGTGGGACCTGGAATTTAACGATCACATCCGGAGCTTGGAATTTTTTGGGGCCCCTGAGCTTCGTGAAATCTATTGGGGAGGAAACATCGACAAGCAATGTCGTAGTGTGAAGAGACCTGCGACTGAATGCGACAAATCCGAATCCCATACCATGTTGATATCTGATAACTCTCATTTCATCCCAACAGTGTCGGACATTGCAGGAAGATGCTTGTCAGATTGTAGTAAACCAATGCATATGCTACCATCGGGTTATGACTAACATAGCCATGGAAAATCCCCATTTTTAATAGGTAAACCATCTATAAATGGGCCATCTATACCATGGCAAACTGTTAGTCATAACCAGAGGGTATATCAAACTCTTCAGCAAAAGGCTCCAGTATGACCCCGTTGCCAACGGTGGTACTCGATCAGACTATGACTGAACACATCTCAAAATCCTCGATTTGATCAGGGATTCTAGGTCACCACCCAGTCAGAACCAAAGATCATCGGCGATTCGGGCCATCCCAGATGTCAGGATCCATCATTTCTGTATCTTTGTTTGCCATAAGTTCCAGATACATGTTGAAGATTAAATCTAGGCCCTAAATGCTTGAGTTTCTATTCATCTTTATAGTTGTGACATGTTTTGACCAAAGACTTCTGAGATTTTCTCCGTTGGGCTAGACTACACCTGCATACACATGCTTTCATCCAATGGATTGAGTTTCATCCACACCTGATCCTCAAAGGAGCTATAGCTTAAGCTTTTGGTGTAGTCGTGCACCTGCAGCCCGATGATCAAATTATCATCCCATTCTTGGTCTGGAAACAGCAAAGATACGTTGGGATGATATCTGGTACTTTGCTGGTAAACTGATGGATGATATCTGGCAACTTGGTGAACAAACTCTAAGAGCTAAAGTTGGAATGAAAATCAGCTTTTATGTTGGGATAAACTGTTTTACAGGGCTATTTTGCTGATTATACAACTGTAAGACAAAGAAGATGTAAAACATGGTAAAACCATGTTCCAGGATGCCAAAACTGGTAGTTTGTCGGACTGCCATGTGAACGTGAAATGATGTGGAGCCACAAAATATAACACACCGTGTCTTTTTTCGGAATAACTGTGTCAAATTTAAGGTATGTCCAAGTGTTTTTTGGGGTGATGTCCATTTTTTGACCCCGTTTCAAAAATTGTTTAATTGTTGGCTACTGGGATGTTGGCCAACATTGTATATGGAACTATGAACAATGAACAACCCCCATTGTGAATCTTTAGAGGCATACCACAATTCCATCACAAACTGCGACCCAACAAACCAAATGAAGGCACGCCAACTGTGACGTCAATGAACACCCCCATTGAGTTGGCTTCACCAGGTTCACCACATTGAGTTTGCCCAAAAACAGGATACAGTACCCTCTTCCATCCATTGGTGAACCACCATTTCCCTGTCGTCGTTTTCCCCATGATACAAGCGATTCATAAAATGACCGCAGCAACGTCATCATTGGATTTTCCCTCAAATTCTCACCCCAAATCTTCGGAAAAATCCCATGGATTATCCCCATGTCATATTCTGCTTGGTGGTGCAATCACCATCTTGAAAAATATGAGTTAGTCAATGGGGTTGGGATGACATCCCATATATGAAATGGAAAATAAAAGTCATGTTTGAAACCACCAACCAGTATTGGTTGATTAGTCATATCCATTCATATCTCATGTCCAATCCCCGAAAATAGCCATGGAATTTCTTGGTGCCAGGTGGAATCCCCACCTCCGGGAGCAAACACTTCAGTTCGGGCACCTGGCGTAGCAAGCACTTCGAGAAGGGGAAAATGCACCGCTTCAAACAGTCGAATGCATCAGTGTGTGTGTATATATATATATACATATAGGGATAAATCATTTATCGGTATATAATTATTTAAAAAAAAAAAACATTCATCATCCATATATCATATATCGTGGATGTTCAGTTTATCCATTTCCCCACCGTCACTGGCTGCATCTTCACCAGACACTCCCAGCCCGGCGGCTTTTCGCGATCCGTGCCCAGCACATGCAGAGCTGCTTTGCAGCTGGCGACCACCTCTCCAAATGTTGGGAGAAATCCTACAGCAGTGGGTACTCTCTGGTAAACTAACATGGCTATTGAAAATGGTGATTTATAGTTGATTTACCCGTTAAAAAATTGTGATTTTCCATAGTTGTATGTATGTTTACCAGAGGGTAGATGATTTATCCTACAGATCCCATGATTGACATTGTTTCATAGGAATCCCTTAAGAGTTACCCTGCCTGGTGCAGGATTTGGAAAAACCATCCACAGTAATTATGTTATATAACTTGTTGTGCGTGGAAAAAAAAGGAGTGGAAAACCACACGAAGATGATTAGCAGCACTTGGCTTGGATCTCTCCATGATTTTTCGCAAGAGAAAAGACGAATCAAACGTTTTTTTTTACTCCGAAAAACTGGGACGTGTCAGACCAACCTCTGCATTAGGAACGCGAAGCGCCTGCCAAACTATATCATTAATTTTCCTACAAGTTCAAAAATATCAAAACAATGGGGTGAATTGACCATTTAATTGACCAAGAAACCATCTGGTCCATGTTTGTCTGACGGGATTCATTGCTCAACATCCTCAACCGGTGAAAACAATATTCATCAAAACTGCATATCCATCCCACAACCCGCCCATGTTTGCCAGTCATCATTTTCCAGGGAAAGGACCTTTCTTACATAAACCCACATAGTTTCATGGCAATAAAACCTCTCCCGTATGACTCCAAACAGGACCCATCCACTTCTGCTGCATCCCCATGTCATCCACTACATCCCATTCCAATCATATATCATTCTCATCGTTCCCCACCAAAATGGATGGTTTTTTCCCCAAAATGGATGGGTTTTAATATGTGTTATACCCCATGGCCCACCTGTTGCCATCGCGCTTCCCCCAGCGCCAGGAACACCGCGTTGGGCACGAAGAGGCCAGGCGCGTCGATTTCTGGGGTCCGCCCAAAAGCGAAGCCGAAGTCCACACGAAAGAGCCGCCCGTCGCGGCCTAGGCGATGTGGCACAGATTTCACAGACATAGGTAGGTAAGTAGGTAGGTAGCGAGGTATATATGGTATGTGTATACAGTACATACATATATATATATATGTATATATGTATATATATATATATATATATATGGTATGTATTACTGTATAATTATGATGTGTACTGTATGTTCTCATTTCGTTGCCAAAGTTGAGTACTTTGCCAAGCTTCGCAGCATCAAATTGTCGTCATGCCCGTCCCGGATCCCTGAGATCGCGGAAACATCCCCAATGTATGGCTACATTTGGGAGATGACAACTGGTTGGTGGTATACAATGGATTTTATATGATAAATTATGGATTGTGGATAGATAAATTAATATAAATTATATCTATACTGGTTGGTGGTTGAGCCTACCCCTCTGAAAAATGATGGGCTTCGTGAGTTGGGATGATGACATTCCCAACTAAATGGAAAGTCATAAATTTCCATGGTTCCAACCAAGCAGATAATCCGTTGGAATTGGGAAGACCCTACTTGCAGACATAGCAACCACCAAAAAGGAGATAAAAAAATTATCAAAAGCAAAGCATCCTATCAAAAACAGTGGTCAACGACTCTATCTTTTTGCTGGTCGCTTTTTTGCTGTCAGTGGATTAGTGGGAAATGCTGGGATCCTGCAGATGTTCCTTCGGTTCAAAGTGATGGATGAAAGAAAAAAAACGCACCCTTTTTTTGTAAACTAAGGTGATATTTGAACACTAGCTTCACATAGCTTCACCATACCATGAAAATTGGTTAGATATAATTCACAAGGAATATGCAACACTCGGATTGGGTTCCAAAAACCCTGTTCTCATTGTCTTGGGCTCGCCTTTGCGCGGGTGGGTCCATTTTCACTGGACCTTCGCCGGAATGGGCTATATTTTTTTTATGTCAGGGCATTCTTGGCAAACCGCTCATGAACATGAGTGTTCTTAGTGTTCTTTTATAATCAACATTAATATGAACTCAGGCTTAGTGAATCGAAATTCAGAATCCCCAAGCAAATGTTTACTATGTCCATTGCGAGAGAACCCAATCTTGATGCTGCCCGTGGAGGAATGGGGGAAGGGGTTCTATCCAGTTGCCAACCAGCAATGAATGCCAAATATTCGTGGTAGTTAATCAGCAGCAAATGGATGCTTTATCGCCCATTATTGATTGGCACCTTCAACACAGTTTCCTTTCTCAAGTTAGAGCCCTTTATTTTTCACCAGAAAGGGTGATATCCGTTAAAACCCAGCATAATATCCTTCTACTTTCCCACTTGCAATGGCTTGCACCGGGATATTCACCTTGTCTTCAACAGTTTCCATCATTCATGTTGTTTCAAACGCCCTGAGAATACCCGTGGAAATACCCAGATACTAACCCCAAGCTTTCAAGTTCAGATCCACAAATCATGTGATTTTTTTCTGACCCAACTTTTTTCATCATCGCCCCATGGGTCCATGGGCCCAACCACCACCAACCAGGCCACCCAAGATATAGCTGGAGGTGAGGTAAGCACAGACACTGGCCGCGAGGCGGTCCAGTTTCCGCGCGTCCTGATGACTTCTACTCGGCGTCGTCCCAGCCGGGAAAAACCAGAGGTCAACTTGTCGTGAAAATCATGGGGATATTAGTGATGTATATATATATGATTATATATGTATATATAATCCCCAAGAAACAAGGTAGTTGACGAAGCTAGCCTACTTACCAATCAACAGTGGGATTTTCTAATGGCTCTTTTTTTGTGTTGCAATGGATCCACAAATCCCATCGCTCAAACACCTGCAACACGCGGCGTCGCTATTCGGATCCATGAGGAAAATGAATTGCAATATTAGGGAATATGGTTAGGATTTTTTTTCCGATACTATTGGAAATCCCATCCCCAATTTCTATGAATTATTCTATGGTCCCAGTATGTCCCAGTCATATTAGTGACCTCTCATCCCACGCCAAGGGGTCCCCTCGAGGTCCGTGTGGTACCCATTCCAATGGCTGTATAGCGATAATCCAAAAGCAGCTTGAACATCACAAGGATTTCTGTCTGGATAAATTAGATAGCAAAAACCAGGGGTATAACTGGTATAACTTGTTTAGGTCTATCTTTAGATCTGGGCGATTTCTTGAAATAAAACCGAACTCAAGTCCTCTCAAAAAAAAAACAAACTCCCTACTGCACAGTTGCCTATGAGAATTCACGCGGTTTCCTTCATTTGTTCACATTAAAATTGTCCGGAACATGAATCCTATTCACATCCATTAACTAGTTCGATAGTTATCATGTCTATGGCCCGAAATACCAGTTATAAATCTGTAAATCAGCCCATTTATGGTTAGTTCTAACATGTACAAAAACATGTTATAACCCCATAAAATGACCCTAAAAATCACTGGTGCCCTGAGATGTCTCCAGGACGCTCCTGATTCAACGCTCGCAGGACGCGCCATTGCCGTTCGTTGAAGGGAACTCCCTCGGAGAGTTCTCGGAGCGTGCGACTTTCAGAGACCACCTAAAGCGACGGAGATTTTGCGGCACTTGGGGCGAAGTGGAAAATCACCCTCTGGTAAACTAATAACATAGCAGCTATTGAAAATTACCATTTATAGTGGATTTTCCCATTAAGAATGGTGATTTTCCATAGCTTTTGTTTTGATCAGAAAATCATGACTCGATTTTTGGCCCGGTTCGATTTTTGGGGTTTCTGACTATGAATGACTAGTCAATGGATGTCAATGCAGTGGTTTTCTTGGCTCTTCAGGAAATGATGGTTTTTGCAATGAAAAAGTTAGGGTTCTCTCCAGATTTTCCCGTTACCGCTTGGATTTCTGTTGGATGTATTGGACCAGATGAAGCGTGCTATGAACCTGCAAACATAGGGGGGCCCTTCCTGTGCCAGAACAGGGTTCTGGGTTTCTGTTGGATGTGTAAATGGAACATGTATCCAGTGTTTGGCCATTTTATGGGGAATATGATCATTAAATATGAGTTTCACTCGTGGCTTTCACTCTGAGTTTCAAGGGGGGCCAAAAACTCCTGCCAGGGTAATGTGCAGAAACAGCCCATGTCACGATAGGCACAGTCAAAGTGTGTCAGTTGAAGCTGTACACTGTAACCATCCAATTCGGGCAGGGGACCCAATGGTTTGACCCAAAATCATCAAGAATAGATCCCCACTGATTCTCTTTGATACACTCTGTGTCCTCAAAATTGCTATAGCTACCGGGTTCTTAAAAAAAAAAACGCCATCGACCAAAAAGTTTCAAGACCCCCTGTCTCAATGTTGCTAACCATCGCTTCTCCATGGCTGGAGCAAGGCACCCGGCTTTTGATCCACATCAGGACCGTGGCCACGAAACCAAGCCGGCCCAGGAACGCCTTTTTAATATTGAAACGTCTCTACAGTAGCCCCCCAAAAAGAGAGAATAGCTGGAAACCTGGAAAAAAATAAATGAATAATGAATGATAAATATCATGTGTAAAGTTATATCAATGAGTTATAACACTTATATCCCGTGATTATCACATAATCTCTACATTATAATGGTTAAATATCATATGGTTGGTAAAAACATATTCCTTATCTTCCATTCCCAGAAAAACGTCGCACCTCTACGAAGCCTAAGGTCGATGAGAGCGGGAAAATACCAAAGGTAATGGCTTGCACCGGCTCCTCAGCGGGGACATTTTGGAGCGAATTTTGAGGGATCAGCATGGGAATACCTTGGAGAATCAACGGAACTCTATGGGAATAGAATAGGAATCATCATGATCACCATACACAATTGAGTTTGAACTAACTATAGTAACTATATAAAAATATCATGGGAATAAATATCATGAGAATGGGAAGGACAGGACGGAATCGGAATTGCGGTCGAATAAACCCTCCGGTGTCGTCGAACGTGGCAATCTGTGGCAACCAGCCATGGAGGTTTTAAAGTTTTTATGGGAATATACCATGGTAATATACCGGGAACAAGTAATTTAATAATCTATTTATGGTTGTTTGTGTGGGAATGTAATGGGAATCTACGGAATGCAATGGGAATCTAACAATAATATAGTGGATTTACCAACTTGGGCATTTACCCTCCGGTGTCGAACGTGACTGGCTGGAAAATCCCCTTGGCCTAGCCATGGAGTTTTCGTTCCCTGGGAAAATCATCGAAATAAACGGAGTATGTTCCGCCACGGCCGCCCGCCTTTCATTGTCACATCGCTTAGATGGTGTTTAGATGGTTTTTTAGATGGTGTTTGTATGTCGTTGAGTAGTTGATTCACCAAAAATGCTTAGCAAGTGGTGAACATAAGCCTTTTTTATACAACTGGAGCATGCACCATGTTACTTTCTTTGTCTGACCTTGGACCATCAGGCCCTCCAAGGCCACAGCGGCGGATGTTGGTCAAACCATGGGGCTTCCGGCTTGGATTTTTTCATGGCAGTGAATACCTGGTATGCTTATGGGCTATAAAAATGAAGTATGTTTGTAGAACCACCATGAGTTGGGATGTATATATATACATATATATATATACATATATATATATATACATATATATATAGTATGTATATATATATATATAACCTCTGTAGCCCTGTCCCATCTGACACTGAACCCCTGGGTTGTTGATCATTCTGGGGAGCCACTGGGGATGTGATGATTAATCGTTTTGGGATAACCTCTCAATCCAACAAGGGTTATTCGTCCATGAAAGGTTGGCCCCCCTAGTCGTAAGGTGATTTATAAACCTCAGGTTGCTATCTAGAGTTCCATATATCTACCATTAACCCCCTGAAATAGTATATAATTGTTATGTTCACCAACTTAGCTAACATGTTCAGTTACCAGTTGCCATGACTTCAATCGGATTCGGGGCCTCCAAAGGGTGTCGAAAGGAATCCTCTGAAGAATTTCCTCCGACTACATTTTACAAGTGAATGGCTATGACTATGAGAACCTCTGTATACACATATATGGATCTATGTAATTCTATATAATATATATATACTATATATCTATCTATCCCATATTATCACTATCCCATATGATCATGTGATATTATGTGTATAAATACTATGTATATCTATGTATGACTTGGGTGGCCTCCACCTGCACCCCTGCACCCCCCTCCTGGCCCACGCAGAGATGGCTCTTCCGCCAACAGCGATTCACGTAGCGCAGCGCCGCCATGATGGCGTATTCCTGGCCGAAGACCGAACGCGGAGAGCGTTGATAGAGTGTTTGAATTGAGAAATGATTCATAAATATATATATATATGAGATAGATAGATAGATAGATACACACACACATCTTAAACATCATTGTTTTTGACATTTTATGATACTTTTGGGTGGAATTGCTGTTAAGATGAGCTGGATGGATGTTTTATGATCTGAAAATCTGTGAAATAATGGACATATGTGTCCAGCTTCACTGGTTCAGGATTCAGCATGGTGTTTTCAGCTTTGCACTCAGCCTGAAAGAAAGTGACCCAACTGCTCCCCAAGTAATGGTCTATTCTGCAACAAAAGACTAGAAATTGTCCGTAGTTCTGTGTCCCCATGATTGCCTTCAATCCTTGTGTCTCGTTGCTTCCGTCTCATGATTGCTGCTGCCATATTCTTCTATAAATAAATATGTTTGCATTTATCATTATAATATATTTGAAATGTCATCGAATTCCACATGAACTCCGCATTTTTTGACGCCAAAACGCCAAGCGTTGAACTCGTTTTGCCGCAGACCCACAGGTCCTGCGACAAGTTCTCAAACTTCACCACAAACAGCACGCGGCCCGGCTCCTTCCCAGGTGTGAATCCCAGGATTCAAGATGAGTTTTTGGAACCATCCCAGTGTGAACCATCAAAGGACCAGAACTTTCCAATGTTTCTCAGCTACAAAAAGGAAATCAGCAGCAAGACTGTGGGGGTTGGAAAATGTCCTAATTTTTCATATCACCCAAATATTGGGGATATAATCTCCAACAGATACTTGTTTTAGTGATGTGAAACAAATCCCCAAGCCATGGGACATTTACCAAATTACCAAACCCTGACCTTGTACAGTATACAATTCTAAACCAGATCATACCCTGGAAACATTTTAAATTGAGCTGATGATGAAATGTTCCCATGGTTGTGTAGCAAAAGATTCAACTACCAAACTATCCAAGGTCGACCCAGTTGTCCGTACCAGACACCGGATTGATTGATAAATCTATGATGTAAATGTACCATTCATTTTTATGGGTACCTCCATTTTTGGGTACGCCCCAGATTTGATATGTGATCGAAACTCACTAACCCCCGTACCGCTGTAGCCAAAAAGGGAGTTACCACACTTGGCTCACCGGCCATTTAGCCACGCAGTGACTCAAAAAAAAAAGGTCCAAAGATGTCCAAAGTGAGCCCAGGCCCAATTTAACCAGCAAAGAGTTCAAAGAACTTTCAAAGAACCATATCCTTGGCCCACCCATTTCCAGACAGTCAATGGACGTAACCAGATTTAAACTCTAAACCATCTGGAAAGCCTATGGACTTGGAAATCCGATCTTTAAACCGACCAAATACTCCTCTCCAAAGATATGTCCAGTCATCCAATGACCCCATGGGAAAATCAAGGGATTCAAACCTTTTGAAAATCCGCGGACCGAAATCCGCGTCTCGAAATCCGCTCCATCTGCACCAGTCGTGCCCTACTCTTGGTCTTGAACTCCCGTAGGATCCGGGCGGAAACGAAGTCGCGGCCGGCAATGTTCAGCGCCTGGACGAAGGCCAAACAGCCCTGGCTGTCAGTGGGGATACCAATGGGCGCACATCACCATTGCCCATCATTGCATCCCATAGGTTCTAGAAACTTATAGTTACTATAATAGTAGTTGTATCATATTCTATCTCCATTCTATCTCATGATACGGTTACTGATGACAACATAGATAATTTGAAAGATATTTAGATAACATCTGAAAAAACATCCCATAGTTATTATATCCCATGATACCTCTGATGAATTACCCTCTGGTAAACTAACAGGTTGCTATGGGAAATCACCATCTTTGATAGCTAAATCAACGAACTTCATGGGCCATGTTCCATAGTAAATTCTTAGTTTACTGGAGGGTATCTCATCCCCCAAATCACCATTTTTATAGGTGGTATGGTTACCATTCCCACTTCTGGGTGGTTTACAACCTTGTTTTACCCACATTAGATGATAATAGGTTCTACAATCTTATAATAGTTATATAATATATATATATATAGTTATTATATATATATCCCCATTCTATCCCATGGCAATGATAACTCTATAGATGGTTTATATCCCATGGATATTCCCAAACCAACCGGCTACCGATCACCTTGGGCAGCAGCACAGTAGTCCCCACCGGCTGATCCAGGCACATAGCCAGGTCCCGCGCGGCGCAGCCAACGGCATTCGCCGCGGCCTTCGGCGGCCTGCGGTGGAACAGGGGGACCGTTCACCAGCCAAAATGGTGGCTTTATGATGCGTTCACCAAGAAAAATGGTGGATTTCTGATGATTTAAAGATGATGTATGATGATTTTAGCGTGGATTTCATGAACTCAATTTGGGACTCCAATGGGAGTTGTGGTTGGCTTTACGTCAGGACCAAGAATTTGACGAATCAATCATGGATTGTGTCTGTGTGTGTGGTCCACCATGGTTTACGCAGGTTGACCCACTCAAAGTTGGCTCTCAAGACAAAAAGTTTGAGCGTTCCATAGCGTTTCTCATTTTTCTCTGGCAAGCCTAGAAAAGTTGAAGAGTTGGAGAATCAGCTATAGTAGGACAATCCCCTATTTGCTAGTTGTCAAGCTGGAAATAGTCTCGGCAAGGTCTTGATCCTGGAAGTTAAGACCAATGGTTAGGAAGGTTCTTGCAACTGGCTTCTATCCCGACTATCCACGATGGACGAATATGATTGACTTGCAAATATGATCAAATATGATCAAATGCATCCTAGAGCCGAAGTTTGTCTTTCTATCTTGGAACCATTTGTATCTATTTAGTGGCCCAATAATCACAAAGGAAGTTGTATATAAGTATAGTGAGTGGTTGTAGGAACTTGAAGTCTGTCTGGTTTGACCTACAAGAATGAGGGGTTTTCGATGATCTTCGCATGTTTTCGCCTGGAAAGGTGTCCAATTCCTGACGGTTAAGTTCCTTGCAGACTTCTCGCTTATGTTCAAGAAGTCTCCATTGTCTCCCTGTTTGAGGTAGTTTAATCATGATTTTACATCCCAATATATACTGGTTGGTGGTTTCAACCCCTATGAAAGTCAGTTGGGATGATTATTCCCAATATATGGAAAAATAAAATTCATGTTCCAAACCACCAACCAGTATTTATATTTGTATATATCCTCTGGTAAACGTTTACATAACTATGGGACAACTCACTATTTCAATGGCCTTTTCCAATAGTTTTTTGTATGTTTACCAGAGGGTATTTCTATCCCCATTGTCCCTATGATTCATGGCACAATCCTCGTTTTTCCAATCTGGTGCCATCCCCCACCTTCGATCGAGGGGAGCAAAGTGTCCAATGGTGGCCATAGCGTTCAAAGTGCACAACGGACCATCTCTGTGAATTTTTGGGGGAAAACTCCAAGAATTCGGATGCAATTCTTGCAGAAAATTCAGAACTAGGGGAATTTCAGGATCCTAAAATGGAGGTACTGTACCATATAAGACCATATTTTGTTGGGATATTCTCTTACATAGGCCTTATATAGGCCTTATATATGGTAGGTACCTCCAATTTAGGATCCTGAAATTCCCATTGAATTTACAAAAACTGGAAAAATGATGGAGTTTGCCCATCTCCAAGTGTTCCCTGGGCTTTGAACTGTGGAGCTGATGGAAACCAGCGTAGTGAAACAAAGGGGGATGTACTTAGGATACTGGGCCCGGAATATAATGTGGATACAATGGTTGTATCACCAACAATGGATATATGTATGTATATTTAATATAATATATATATAATATAATATAATATAATATTATATTATATTATATTATATCACATATGTATATGTGGACAACATGCTAAGCATGGAAACGGAGTCGCTGCAACATGGGCGCAGGTCATTTCTGACGGAGTTCTAGGAGCCAGCTGCGTACAAGCCATTGGCAAACTTTGGGCCCAAGACTGAGACTCACCAGACCCAAATCTCTGAGTTCGTTCATGAATTCGACATGATTTGACTCTTAATTATGCACCTTGACAGAAAAATAAAAAACGTAGACTCCTCGGAAACTCAACTGAATATAGAGATGGTAGAGGCATGCAGAATGTTTGGATGAAACTCTGAGAGGCTGGAGATTCAGGTTGTAGTGGGGCCGGTTTGTAGCTAGGACAACTGGCCTTTATAATTTTATAGTAGTTATAGCATGTTATAGCTATAGTTAGATGTGGTCATAAACCAACAAGAATAACTGGGGGGGTCATCTTGTACCAAGTCTACATAAGTTTACCACTTTCTGATTCTGGGGGTCTCAAATCAACCAAAGGTTGGATCGTTGCCATGTGAAGCCATCAACTCCAGCGCCGCCATATTTTTCCAGTAGCACTGGGTGCAACTTTGACACCCCGTGCATTTTCGCGGCAACCGCGCGCATCGCGATCTCGGGATCCAAAGGGGTGGCGTTTACACATTGGCACCTTTCCAGAGCATGCCTGGGATCTATAGATGTTCGTCCCTTTAAAAATATGGCGTCCCCACATTTCCCATGTATCATATAATCATATATAGTTTATATCAAATATATCCCATTGATTCCCATTATGTCTCCATCAAATTGCTGGTTACCCTCGGGTAATTTTTCACATAGGTATGGAAAATCACAATGTTTAAGTTCATGAAAACTGGATAGATGGATAGATGAATAAATGGATAGATGGATAGATGGATGGATGGATGGATGGATAGATGGATGGATGGATAGATAGATAGCTAGATAGCTAGATAGCTAGGTAGGCAGGTAGGTAGGTAGATAGGTAGATAGGTGGATGGATGGATGGATGGATGGGCCATTGTCCATAGCAAACTGTTAAATTACCGGAAGGTATATCACCATTTTCTCCCTCTTTTCGGACCCCAAGCCTGGCCCTCTCAGTACCCACAGGCGCTGCCCAACTGCTGCCGTTCGCATGGATAGTCCTCACGCGTTTTGCGGGCCTAAATTTTCATTAGTAAAGAAACATGGTGGGGTTCTTAAAACCAAGTGACTCTCCGAAAATGCTGGCCTTTAATGGGTAAAACTATGGTAAAACCTATAAAACCCATTGGTTTTGGGGGGTCCCCAATTGCCTCCGAAAACGCCGAGATGTTGGGAGATCGTTGGGGTGACCGTCCACTGCCAGGCATCCAGACGCCCTTTTCATCACGCCACCGCGATGGCTGCACGGCAATGGTGCTCGACTGCTCGACCGCCCGTGATGGTCCATGGTCAATGGATCAACATGGATCAACCCATACCGTAGAGTCGTAGAGCAGCCTACAATCCACACAAGTATCACACAAGTATCATTTTGATTGGGTATGGCCGGTCAGGGCTGATGGTCTTCCTCTGTCAGTTTTTGGAGCGGAAAGCCGGCAGCGACTTGATGATGTAGTCGACGCTGGAAACATATGCCTCAGCACGACTCAGCGCGCCGAAATATGGGTATTCACCAACTGTCCCCAAGCAAGAATATTGGCTTTAGCCAAGCAATTTGAAGGATCACGCAACAAATCATTCCTGGGTAAAGTTTTGTAGGATTAGAACCTATATACAACCCAGTTTTGAATGGGAGGTTAATTGAAGATTGGGGGGCTTGTGATCACCAGAGCTATAAAGGTCTTACAATGCCTGCGAGGCTCCTCGCAAGAATACGTGACGAGACAAACTGTATTTGTTTAAGTAGGGTAAATCATCCATAACCCATAGCTATGTGAGTCTACTGGAGGGTAACCATTGTAGCAAAAACTTGAAGTATTTTTGGCTACCCAAGTGACTTGGAAACTCAATGGGTCAAGCGAAAAACGTGGGAACATAAGGAGGTTTCCGAAGTCAAGGGGGTACCCCTTTATCGCTGGATGGTTTAGTTCATGGAAAAGCCTATTCCAATGGATGATTTGGATTGATGTGGGGGTATGTACCCGCATCTTCGGGTTTCTAAATTTCATGTGAGAACAACTGTCACTGTTCGCATGTCAGGGTACATTGAAGAAAAGGACGCCATAGCACTACTTAGCAAGCTTTCAAAAATGGCATACATGGCTCGTGACTGTTTTTATTCACAGGCATGAATTCCACTGAACTGGCGCGTGTCTGTGTCTGAAACTGTGAAACATTGGCATGTCTCCAAGTAGGGCGGGCTGGTCCCTTTTAAGGAATTGGAAAAAACCAGCCCTTGCTTGGATGTCCCAGTGCCATGGCTCGGGACATCCCAAAAGTTACCCTGCCAAAAATTGCGGTTTCTTCATTTCCTCACTGAATGACTGGACGAGCACTAATTAAACCACACCACAACTACACTACAACTACAACTGCAACTACACTACACAAACTACTCTACATTACAACTACAACTTACAACTACAACTCCACTACACTACAACTACAGCTACAACTGCACTACACCACACTACATCCAGCAGTTGTGGTGAGGTGACCACTGCAACCATTGCAACCACTCCAAAAACGCAACTCCAACCACCTTTCGGTCCATCAGTGGATTCGCTCTGCCATCCATGAGTCACAACAACCAACCTCTCCTATAGGTTTCCGGTTTTTGAAACTTCCGCCATCGCCTTGTGCGGTACTACTGGTATCATTATATTTATGTTTAAGGAAAACAAAGCGTACTAATCGTACTATCAAGTTTGCAACGTCACCAAGATACCAAGATGGCCCCCACATAGAGAAGCACCAGCGAACCTGGCTCCAATTGAGGCCGATGATTGACCAACGATTTACATTGTATCTTAAATGTGTATAATATATTTGCAAACCAAGAAAGATAGAAAAGGACAATCGGATTCCAAAATAATGCGATTCACAACCCTTTTTCCATCGATTTTGGGATTGCGAGGGCGACAATGGATCTTTTCTCTTCGACTGAAACCAACGGACCCATGCCATGCGACCATTACCGGCCTGTGAAAACCATGGACTGAAAAGCTTCTTCCGATGAGGCCAATAAGCCACAGAGACTGATGAGAATCGTGGCAGTCCTCGGATGACTTGACTCGAAAGTAGAGAGATCCTCAAGTTGGGTCAAAATACAAGAATGGTAACCTCAAGGAATTGATGTCAAGGATTTGTTCAGAGGAAATATCCGGAAAATGTCATGTCAAATGGGGTTTCCTGTAAAATGTCCCGTTCAACCAATTCCAGGACCCACAAAACGGAAACGCTGAAAATATAAAAGCATGGCAACGTAAAAGGTGTATATACATCCCATGGGGTTCAGCAAGTTGAGTGATTCTAAAAGGTTTGTTTTAGGTGTGAGAGTTCACATGAGTTGCTGTGGACGCTCGTGCCCCCATCTGACCCATAGCCACACCACTGAAGGCCCCGCCGCCAGAAATCTCCCGACCGACCAAGTTTCTTCAACTTGCCCAGGACACCCACTTGGCTCAAGGCACTTTCGCCTCGACTGCAAGGCACCAAGCACTCAATTCCTAGTGTTTGGATCATCTAACATGGAGTGAGGAGCTGGAAAATCTACGGAAAAATCTATGTATATGATTTACAGCAACTCATTTTGGGATAATCCCCCTGCTAACCATCATTAGCAGATGGATATTCCGCTATTCTACCAACAAATTTGGCCGCCTTTTAGCAAGATTCTCGGATATAAGCATGCATTGAAAATGGTCATGATCCCCATTAAATCCCGCATTTTGGAACATTTTGGAAAGTAAGTTTACCCGCCAGACTAACTCTATTACTTGCCAATCTTGGATACGGGTATTTCTCCAACATCACGCCAACAGTTTGTTGATCAATCACAAAACAGTCAAGCTTGGGTCCCCAATTTCGAGAAACACCCATACCGGCCCCATCTATTCTAAGCGTGTCTCAAAAAGGATCCCCCATTTCCATCCATTTCCTGGTTTGGTGTATTCCTGACAAACCATTCCTGAAAAATCCCACGTTTTACTGAAAAAAATCCCACTTGTCATGAGTTCCCCCTTTTAAAAAATGGTGAAATCTCCAATCGAACCGACTCATCCCATGAAACTCATCAAAATTGCTTCATCTTGCTGAAATCATCCCCAAAAATCTCTGGCAAAAAAAATCCACCCCAGTTTCTTCCGCCCAAAAACAGGTCCACAACGACCGACCACAACCGACCAGTCCTCAGCATCCCCAGGGTCCCCAGGGTCCCCAGGGTCCCAAGGTCCAGACCTGCCAGGGCGGTCCACTCTCGGAGGGCACTGACCAAGATTTCACGCAGGATGATTAGCACCGCGGGCACCGCCAGTAGCGGCGCCGTGGAGCTGGACGTGGACGGGAGCAGCACCAGGACCTCGAAAAAAATAAATCGTGTACGTGTGTCAAAGCCCAATTTTCTTTGCTCACCTCCCACTGTTGAATTCATAAATTCCAATTCTTACATATTCTTACTAGGTGAAATCCCTGCTTGAGCTGGTCAAGTCGCAGTACACTCCATTTTGGTGAGCCCAATAGTAGCTGGACAAGACTCGCCAGAGGACACCGAAATGGGTTGTTTGATGCTTAAAATCCCCCAGTTTCCTCACCAGATCCCCTTTCTGTACACCTAAATACTCACAAATAAAAAACGATTTGGTGGCTCATCCCAGTTCGTAAGTGGGTGAATTCATGTCAATTCACCCCAGTTCTAACTGGACTCCCCCTACTTTTGGCACAAAAAAATTCGCCCTTTGGCCGTTCAAGGTACAGCTGAAGCCAACAGCTTGTCAGCCACCGGGTCCAGGAACTTCCCAAAGGGCGACTGCACCTGGATGATCCAGTTTGGAGATCTCTTTTTTCGAACGGCTTCGGGATACCCTCTGGTAATGACTAACATAGCTATTGAAAATGGTGATTTATAGTGGATTTTCCCATTGAAAATGGTGATTTCCCATAGCTATGTTAGTTTACCAGAGGGTAATCAGATGAATCCCCTGGATCTACAGATGGATGGAGTAAACCCATACTAATACGTGCCAAAAAAAATAAAAAAACTGTTGTGAGACAGGAGGCACAAAAAAAAACCATCACCCAAATGGGAGAATTGCAAGTCTGGAAAATCAGCATGAATTCGAATCAGCCAATCTGGAGTTCAAGGGGATAACCCGAAGTAGGGGACCTATGACCAGGCATACCTCCACCATTGATCCCTGGGATGATCTTCTGGGTTCACCAACTGGGTAGAGGTCATGATTCATAGGTCATACCCTCTGGTAAACTAACATAACTATGGAAAGATCCACCGTTTTCAATTGGAAAATCCACTATTTCGACTGGGTCATTTTCAATAGCGAACTGTTAGTCATTACCAGAGGGTAGATTTGCAGTTGATGACCATGGTGTCCCCATTTTTACCCATTTTAAAAAGGGATATCTCCGACCTAGAAAAACCAGGGGCTGCTGGATATGGCGGTGCCTGTCTCCTGAGGGGGAAAACAAAAACAGCCGAACTAATTGGTGGTTTCAACCCAACAAAATCATCGTCAGTGTGGGATCATTGTCCCCAAAAATGTGGATGAACATTAGAATTTCCAAAATATTTCCCCATGATGTCATCCACATGGATATTAGAATTAGAATTTTCACCATATTTCCCCATCATTAGAATTTCCCATCATGTGGAAACATTAAAATATTTGAAATGAATCTCCCCATGATGCCACCATGTTTCCTCGTGAAATATCTCCACGTTGGATGCGAAATTCCCCAATAGAAACAGTGACGAAGTTGTACCTCGAAACCATCCCAAAAAACACCGGTTGAGCTTTGTCGGAAGCTGCGCTGTATGACGCCTCTTCTTGGCGGTTTCAAGTTGGAAGATCTTCGTCATTGAGGATCCAGTCATATGGTTCATGTTTAAAAAAGGGTTGACATCACCCCTTTTCGGTGCCCGCCTGCCAGCGCCGTGCCAGATAGCCGTCCAGGAAATCCGTCAGGGAAGCCACTGCGAAGAGCAAGGCACAGAGGTGGCTGCGCCGGGTGTAGAACAACACCACGATGGGAAGAACCTGTGGTGCTCCGGAAGACAGCATGGCCCAACATTTTATGGGTGCGCCAGTGCGGTTGGGGGTTGTTTCTATGGATATAACATGATATAACTTAAGATAAAACTATTATATAAACAGAGTATATCAGAGTGATAACCTGCATAAGTCTTTAAGTTGGGATAAGGGAACCCTTATATAAATCCATAAGTGGAACTACTCCTATAAGTCTATAAGATATGAACTGGAAAACTCTTTAATAGTTATGTAATATCTATTTTCCACCATTGATGGCTAGAAATTGGGTTTTTTTATCGGTGAGTCCAGGATAGCCTGGGTAAGGCACATTCTGAGTTGTTGGAGATTACATTCTTCCATCATGACTAAACCATACTGTACGAAAAAATACGAAAACTATCAAAAACTACAGTCTAAATAAACGATAACTATGAACCTGTCACAAAGCTTCACCCAATCCCAGAGCATTCCCAGTTCGTGGCTCTGAATTTTCATCAGTTTCTGGGATATCCAAGTTTCAGGGCAAGTCCCCAGGAAAGCTTCACCACATATGCTACCCTTCAGCCAAATCGCCACTGGAAAAAACACAAGTGGCCATTTGAGGGCTTCACAAAGCCTGTCTTTTTCAGAATTTCTCCAATTGGGCCAATGACTAAGGACTCAAGTTGTCTTTTTTGTGTTTTCCCATGTTTTCCCATGCTTCGCCCCCCTGGCACCATCAGCACTCGCATCGCTGTGAGCACATTCGGCAGCCTCCTCTGCCACGCGACCGCGGTCGCCAGGGCCGTGGCGGCGGACCGCCGGCGTTGCACCGGAACGGCGGAACGCCGTGGGACGACGGGGCCGGTGGGCACGGCACCTGGGGCGTCAAACGGAGATGTTTTGGGATGGTCCCAGTGGTCCCAGTACCATAAGTTGCTTTATAAACCATTATCATAATCCCCATTAACTAGTTAACTATAGTGAACCCCCATGATCATAACAAAACCCCCATGATCATTATATCTAGCCGTTATAACATAAGTTATAACCCCCATTGACTATAGTAAACAACCCCATGTCATGGCCTTGTCTCCAGCTTACGCTGGGCATACTGGGCCGTGGTAGCTGGTGCACAGGCTGCATGGTTAGCATGGCGAATGGCGCGAAAAAAAGGGGAAGGATGGGATGGAAGTGGTGAAAATTAGGGTAAAAATTATGGTGATTATTATATTGTGATTATTTTATGGTGATTATCTGGTGATTATAAGGTGATTATCTGGTGATTATCTGGTGATTAGGGGATTAACAGCTGACCTCCAGTTTCGCTGGATTTGTTACTGGTCAAAACCCATGTTTGTATCTTCGCAAAATTGGTGGACTTCCAAACTTGGATATGCAACGTAGCATCGAAAAATGGAGTTGTACCAAGTTGTAGACCCTCTAAATGGTGTCACCCACATTGTCAAGGGTTATATTATATCAAGGAGAAATCCTTCCTCAGATTACTCAGATTGTGAGTGTATACATATTATTTATATATATATATGTATATATAGATTCTGGAATTGTTAGCCGTGCGACTTTTCTTCTAACTCGGGATTGGTTGACTCAAATTCGCCAGAAAATCCAATCCGCCAAAGTTGGAAAGTATTAGATCCTAAAGATAACCTCCGCGTCTCGACGGACTGAAATCTATGTCTTCCACCTAAGTGATTGATAAGCCTGAGAGACTCCCGACCTCAAGGTCATTCCCCATTCAAAAGTGGCTTCGAAGTTTTTCCCATGGTTTCTAATCACCTATCCCCATGTTTATTGGTTGCATCTCATTTTTTGTTGGTTCACATGGAATGTCACATGATGTTCGCTCTCTTGGCCAAATCATCTTCATTCCACTTGTCCGCTGATCTTTGAGCCGACCAAAAGCTGCAATGTCCAAAAGCTGTGTGGTCAAAACCCCAGGACCCTACGTAGCCTAAGTCATAGCTGGTGGATGTTCATTCGCCCAGTCATATGGTAATTTCATAGGTTTTACCAACGACCCATCCCCATATCTTCAGTGGGTGTCATCCCACAGAGGGGTGTCCGGATAGCCCCAAATGGCCATCAAATTTGTGAGGTCGGTGCCTCATTTTGCTGTTGGTTGTGCCTTTTATGTAAATCTGTGTAATGCCTTCACCCCAAGATTAACACCCCCAAACAAACACCTCTAAACTAAACAAGAACCTGGTTTGGTCCTAGATCTATTCATGAATTGCGGTCCCAGATCGCTGATTCCATCACCATGCTTCCAGATTGTTCAAATCACCAACCCTCTTGCTCCACGTGCTCCGGCATGGAAACCCCAAATGTTACCCAATGATGTTGGTGTTCCAGCACCATGGCATACGGGCCCGGCCGGGGTGAGCTGAATCATCCCATGCATCTATGAATCTCCATCATAAATCTGGGTAAATCAATAGTATTTCACCTGAATCTTGCGGCCATCTGGGATGATGTCCCATATAAAAACCATGATTTCCAGGGGGAGAACAGGCTGAGGTCGTTATGATTTACCCAGATAAATGCCCATCAGGAAGGCCCACCCCTTTTGTATTGGTTTATAACCCGATCTAATGGCTGTGAGTGTAATTTCCAAGCATGAGATCGTGTGCCTAGTTCTGTTTACCAACTCACCTGTCGTGGCGGGGGCCCTTCACAGAAATCTACTTTTAGTCATTTGATACAGACAAATCACAACCAATCTTAATCTCCAATCTTAGTAAGATGTTTATGATCATTGCCAATCTCAAATGAAAACATTGATGGATGTTTATGATCATTATTGATTCTCCAATCTTCATTACATCATCATTATGATCAAGATGTTTATGATCATTGCAAAAATGAAAGCTGTGATCATAATGTCTTGATCATCAAACAGAATCTCCAGTCAGATGATCAATAGCCCAGATTATCAGAATATCAATCTTGATTATCAATCTCAATAGTCAAGTATTTTAAAAAAAAACTGGATATTATAATATGATTATATATGTATTATCAATTATCTGGATATTATAATATTATTACAATCTTAGTATATATAACACGGATATTATATGATATTATCAATTATATATCAATCTTCATATCCAGACATCCAGGAAAACCCACCCATCCATCCCAGAACGATCTCCTCTGGCGTCCACTTCACTGGCGAGTCCATGAGCGCCTGCAAAAATGGCGGCCATGGGTCGAGCGCAACCTGCTTGGATTCACCAAGTTTTCTGGGATCGAAACTGCCCCAAAATCCTGATGTTTATCTGCTGTGAAATGAAAAACATGGATATATCGAACGAAAAAATGAATTAATTAAAATATCTGCTGTGAAATGGAAAAAATGAAACTAAGAAATATAAATCGGGCTGCATCCTATGTTTCTCCATTTATAAATCGGGGATTTCTTGCTAACGAAACTGCGGATTGAAGATGGTTAGACCATGTCCTGCGAATGGGGATATGTTACATCACCAACAGCGTGAATCACATGTCGTCCCCAAAGGGCCATAAGACACCGATAGCCGACGCCGAGAGCTCGCCTGAATATCCAGCAGTTTCCACGTATGACGAACGCTCCAAGAGTCACTCCTCAGGACGAATCACTGAAGGATCCCAAGGATGGGATCGTTTCTTTCAGACTTCTCAATGTGGTGTGCCAAAAAATGGGGGAATGGCCCAAAAAATGGGATCTCCTGAAAATGCGTTTTTTTGCAGTTGAAAATGAAGTGTTTCGCGTAAATCATCGGAATCCTTTCTTTCCAGCCGAGCGTGCTGACTTCCACTACAAGAGATGAGATTTCTATAAAGCCACGAGTTGTTGGATTGGGACTTTTTGACCCTGAATTCATCCAAAAATACTAGTGATGTAGTAGGAAAACCATTCCTTTCGGGTCCCCCCCCATTTTCCAAGGCTGAGAGCACCTCTTATTCTGATCATTGACCAAATTCCTCATGTTTGGTGCTGCGAAGCCGCCATGAATCCTCACAAGTCCATGGATATAAAACATATATATATATACTGGATTTATATTATATTATATTATATTATATTCTACTATATTATATTCTATTATATTATATTATATGCTATTCTATTATATTATATTATATTATATTTTATTTTATTCTATTATATTATATTATATTATATCATATTATATTATATTATATTATGTTATATTATGTTATGTTATGTTATGTCATATCATATCATATCATATTATATTATATTATATTGTATTATATTATATTATATTATATATATATATATAGATATAGATATATATTGCTGATTCATTATGATTCAATCGTCATTTTTGGCTGTTTTTCATGCGTGTCGATGTTTTGGCACTTCTGGATCATCCCCCAGAAAAAGCATCCAGCCATAATTAACACAACTCGTCATGCCTAGCAAAGTATAGGGGGATATATCTCCTATAAATCCATAGTGAAATCGGACTTAGGCGCCAACTTAGCAAGCATCAATCAGCTCTAAAATCCCTTCAACTTCCCATTGTTTCTAGGTGAAGTCATTATTTTCCCGATGGCTTTTCCGGGGGGTTCTCTGCACCGAACCCGGTTTCTCAAAAATCCAGGTCACAAGAGCAATCCAAACTGCTCGTCCTCCCAGCGCCTGGTAACCATACCACCGGTGAAATGGTTTTACCCTATTTTACCATATTTTATCAACAGAAAATAATATTTTACCATATTTTTACCAACAGTATATATATATATATATAAAAAGGTGTCCCAAAAAAAAAAATCCAGGAATAAGATGGAAAGTTGGCCGATGTTAGGGCTGAAGTTCAGGGGATAGGGGATATGATGCCCCCAAGTTCTTTGGTTTTAGATGCTACAGATTGCTACAGTACCTTGAAGCAGGGAAACCAAGGTTTGTTGGGCTTCCCATTTTCAGAAATCCACTAGATGTACATGTTGTTTTTCGACATATGTCAACTGTGCTCAAATTTATGATCGTCTGTTTATATCTGTGCCTTCTTCCTTTATCAATTTTGTTCATTAGTTTCTAGACTTTTGAGATATGGATACGTGGATATGCGGATACGTCGATATACAAATATGTGGATTTGTAGATGGTAAATATGTGCCAGAAACATTTCAGTCAAAGGCACTTGTTCTTGGGGAGGATCCTCCAGGCATCAATTTCTAGGAAGCAGTGATTGTAGTCGGAGTACATATATATATATATACACTTATATGATATAAGTGTGTATGTATATATATATATATGAATATGTATATATATATCATATTATATGCATCTGTGGTATACATTCGGACTATCTCTGTGGAGTCAAACATAGGGCTAAATCGCATCGCCGCAATGAACATTGGTCATCTCCGCATCTCCTGTCAAGGACATGTCTAAAACTGTGACGTGATGGCCATAGAAATAGTGGATTTACCCATTATATAATAGCATGGTGATTTTCCATAGTTTTTTGTAAAGGTTTACCAGAGGGTAAAACATTGTTTCATATTGAAAAAATGGTCTTTCAATATCTTTGAATTCAAATTCCATTGACCTGTGGAATTCTTTTAGACTGTTTTAAATTCAATCATCATGTTTTCGTACTTCCTTTATCTTCTCGACCTAGGAATACAATAATAGAATGATCAATCATCGATTCCACCAGAGTTTCCACCGGGATGTTCCCCCAGGTGGTACGTTCAACCATCTACTTGTAGACATATCCACCTGTTCAACAGTTTGCCTGGTTTTCTCAACCAACATTGAAGTTCATCTCAAAAACTTGGAAAACTCAAAAAAAAAATGCATCGTCACCCCCCAAAAAATGCTAGATTTACCCCTAGGGTAAAAAAGATGTGGAAAATCAACCATTAGACGATTTTGCTGGGGTTTTACATAGAGTTCTCCACATCTTTTTGTATGTTTACCCTAGGGTAACAATTGAGCAGTCTTCAAAATCCCTCTATCATTCCATCAAAAATATACTGGTTGGTTAAGAACGGGATTTTCCCGTTCTTGGATTACTGTATATATTATAATCCCCAATAGGTAAAGGGTAGAATTGAATCCCCAAACTTCCCCAAGCTAATCCTAGGGGTCGAGGCTCACCGGTCCCTGGGCTCCCCCAGCGGATGGTCAAACTCGTGAAA